GTAGTAGTAGTAGTAGTAGTAGTAGTAGTAGTAGTAGTAGTAGTAGTAGTCGTAGTCGTAGTGGTAGTGGTAGTGGTAGTGGTAGTAGTAGTAGTAGTAGTAGTAGGTTGTTTGTTGTTTGTTGTTGTTGTTGTTGTTGAAGCAGCAGCAGCAGCAGTAGCAGCAGCAGCAATAGAAGTAGTCGTGGTGGTAGTAGCAGTAGTCCAAAGAATCCTTGACCCGACACCTTTGCAGGGGTGAGGAGCCCGGAGTCCTTGGCGCCGCAGGTCCAGATCGCCGACAGTAGCCGGCGGGCCCTTTGGAGGCGGGTGCTCGCCTGTACAACGAGCATGTGGACGAGCCATGCTGTTTTTGGTGCCAGTGGGTGTTAGTTTCGAAGATGGGTGTGTATAGGGTGTGTCCCATTTTTCCTGTAACAGCCGGTAAATGAGATGATCACTATGTTTGAGAGCGCGCCCCATCCTCATCCAAGGTGATTTTTTCCAGACCATCCATGTATGGAATAAGTTATATAAGTTATATACATTAATTTACCCCATGTGTAACCCCAAGGTATATAACTATTCCAGTCCCATATGGATTGTTTGGTCGTGCAGGGCAGTGACCTTTTCTTTTCAGGAAGAGGACAAATCCACCACTCTAAAACCTGGTTGGAGGGTCTCCCTCTTCAAATACATGGTGCCGGTGTTTTACTTGTCCATTCTAAAATTTGTGCATATTCTTGGGGTAGAAAGAAAACCATGGCCAAGCCCGAAAGCAGCTAGTACATTCCTTTTTCCATGGATCCAGCTTACCGCTATATATGAGGAACCAGGTTTTCAAGGTTTACGTATATAGCATACTGCTGGCGTTTCTCCTGTGCCATAGAGGACGTGTTGTTTGCCGCATGTCACGCGATAGCATCGGCCTTTTGTCGATCTCATGTAGGGATTCTCTACATCAGCTACAGCTTGTAGCAAGGAAAAAGGGTTGAAGTGTGTTGCTGCCAAACTGCCAAACTTCACGTTTGATGAATCGCAATGACATTCTTATAAAGCCAAGCAATTGCACCTTTTTTTTGGTGGGGGTGTCTGTCATTGCCTGCGGATAGTACTAATAGGATAACCCGTATGGGTTTGTCCACTGAAATCCAACCAGTGGAAAAGGGTCAAGCAATATTTTCCAGGGAAAGGGTTTGCCTCAAAAGTGGATACCCCAGCAGTCGTGCGGACTCCATGGAGGGTGCCGTCGAGGTGCCCCTGTCACGTCACATCCACGAGCCCTGGATGGGACTAAACACCACCCCCAACATGTGACTCCTTGGACCTTTGACTTTCAAACAGCACACGGTGGCTCCGGTCCAACAGGATCGAACCGGGTTCGAAGCGTCGAAGCGTTTCTTCGGATCGTCTCTTTACGGCCTGCGAACCCGCTGGGGGGGGGATTTGGGGTGTTCGACGTCTCTCACGGATCTCTCTCCCCCTCCGGGGTGCGAAGGAGCGGGTCGGTTCCCCGAAGAAGTCCGTTTTGCTAGAGACCGTGGGACCCGGGAACCGCGGGAACCGCAGGAACCGCAGGAACCGGGACCGGAACCGGGACCTCACTTGGTTTCACCCTGTCATTTGAAGCTGATCGTTCTCCCAGTTGTGTTTTTTGTGTCGGGCTGGGGTACTTTTTGGGGTACTTTTGTTGCCTTGCAGGTTTGCTGCCTTGACCTACCGACCTTTGGTTTCCAACCTTCTCCAACTTAACAACCCAGGAACCCGTTTTTCACCTCAAGAAACCTTTGAATACAGGACCATCCAGTAGCATCCAGGACCTGAGTGTTCTGGCTGGACTACCCCACACTACCTGGTTTTTGCTTAAGGTGCATGATTGTTTATTTTCTCCATGGTTAAATCCTTTGGTAATTATGTATTTTATTTGTTTCCGGTTCCTTATAACTATAAGCATCCCGTTTCCCACGGAGCTGCCATCTTGGCCTATCGAAAAGGCCAGTGTTGGTCGTGGTCCAGGAAGTCCGTGGGTTGGCGCAGCTACACTCTGACTCACTAACCCTCGTGGATCCTGGCAAACCACGAACAATCGTAATTAGGTAACCAACTAGTCTAAGGACCCTCCAAGGGGTGTCCTGGCTGGACTACCCCACACTACCGGCCTAGGCTTCCAGACAGGGCACCCCGCGGTGTCGGGTCCTGGTAGTGGTTCCAGTTCCACTAAATCAGTGAATCGGCCGAGGGCCCTTGGTTCCAATAGGGAGACCTCCGAATGACCCCCTGCGTGGAAGAGTAATTACAACCCGTTGGCGCGCGGAAGTCCCCATGAAGAAACACAGCCATATAATGGGATCCACTGGGTAAGACGGAAGTGGATGGCATGGTCCCTTGGTAGACTACTGTCCTTTACGAACAGTGGATTTTCACTGATTAATGTGATGTGTTCTTCAGACTTTAGCTTGAACCTTTTGTTAGGGGATTGGGGTTTTCCTCACAAAAAAATCTAAGCTAGGTGGAAAGTTAGGTTAAAGCTTGATTCTTGCACAGCCACTCCATGTACAGCCTATGATATGCCTACATTGACCACCCACACCACCACCACCACCACCACCACCATGGTATGCCATGTCCCATGCGACTGGTCGTGTTTGGGGTCAGGATCTCTGATATTGCCCAGACACTCCATGGAACTGCCATATATGCCGATCAGACCAGGGGTGCATCGGCAGTCCTATGGCAGTCCCATTTGTCGCGTCTATCGGGTCACCGGTCATGCAGGTTGCTGCGATCCTCGGTCACGATGCTCATCATGGTCGCCGGGGTCACCGTCTTCGCCGAGGGCCTGGCGGGGAACGTGCAGAAGGCCGGCGCGGCGCGTGAGTGGTGCGACGGGGCAACACGAGATGACACGTGGGGTGCGTGGAAAGGAAACCAAAACCACCGTGAGTTGTGAGTTGATCATGATTTTCCTCAGACACTGTTACGAGTAGTTTGGCATCGTCGCCCCCTGACCCTCGTACACCCCTTCTTGCGCCGTGGTGGAGCGGCGCGTGCAGGGCTTCGGCATGGGGTCGAAGAAGATCACGCCCGTCGAGGCCACGCGGGTGCTCTGCTTCTCACCGCAGGGTCCATGTGGACGGAACGAGGCTTCCAGGCGACGGAGCGGAACGGACCGTTTTCAGCGTCCACCGTCGTGCTTCACTTGATCGATATGTTAAGCGGAGGGAGTCAGGTTCCGCAAATCAAAGCACCTTGTTCAAGAACGTGTGTTCACGTGTCACAAAGAACCTGGACCCGACTTCAAGTACCTTGGAAAATGGGACATGACCCTAAAGTAGCCATCCCAGGGCATCCAGTTACTAGTTGGCTGGTCACCAGTGGTTCCGAAGACTAACACCATAGACCGGTCACCGAACCCCTTTGAGAATCCAGGGTCCGTCGGGTGCTCGCGGACGGGTCCGCGAGGCGGACCCAGCGAAAGCAAGGATAGAAAGGATGGAAGAACGGATGCATCTACCCACGGTTCTGAAAACCCTACCTGTCCAAGGGCCAAGGACCAAGCCCGGTCCTTCATCTCATGGAGTTATTGTTTTGGATATCAAAAGATCCAGTGAATGAGGTCCGAAAGACCTGTGAGGATACACCCTGAAAGACTTGTAACATGGACGCTGAAAACCACTGGTTGGTAGAGGAAAACCAGAGGGCCTTTGACAGGGTCCGCATTAAATGAGTTTTCGGGAGTATATTGAGCCGCCGCTTGGGAGCTCGACTGGACGTCGGGACGGCACCCGAGACCAGCCTCAAATCCTTTAAGGAGACATTCGGTCCGGGATTTTAAGAGGTGGTGTTGGCTGAAACAGCTGCATGCAAAAAGAACGAACGCCCTCCCCCACCGGTGACGAAGCAGAACATCATTTGGCACGATGGACGTTTTTGTTCACGCGATGGACGCTGCGATTCTCCCGTCAGGAAGTGAACACTACCTTCAACGATGTCAAGGGTTGTGACGAAGTGAAGGTGGCGCTGCTCTCGCATGCGTCGAGCGACTTGCGGACGAGTGATCGGGTGGATGGAGATGCCCAGAGCATCCATTGCGACTGGAGACCTTCGGGGCCATACATGAAATAGTTCAATGTACCAGGACCATCCAATGAGTGTCCCCACACTATATCCGGGATCTGGTCCACACCCAGACTGTACTATCTTGGCTGTACAGTTGGCGAAGCTGTAGAACACACCCTGCCACTCTAACACCACTTGCCTTGCAGCCTGTGTCTTCGGTCGACTGCACAGCGTGACGCCTTGGGGTACTGTCTTCGTGTCTCAGACGAGACATGCGAAGAAATGGATTCCACCGCGGAATGTTGCGTAGGTCACTCCAACAGGTCACCTACCACGTACTAGGCTGAGAGATCTATCCATTTCAGCCACCCAAACCGTTGAAGGCCTGTTAGTATAGAGGGTGCTGGTCTTTTTGCCTGGAGGTTATAGCTCTTTCTGCGGGATTTGGATAGTTGGAAGATCCAGGTACATGCTTCTATTGGCCCCTGAAACATCCTGAAACAAACCACCCCAACACACGCAGTGGGCTGGGGGACGTCCAGGATGACCCGTTCGGCAAGCACCTGCAACCTCGCACATGTGTTGTTTTTCTTGTTGTCGGTGGTTCAACATCCCTCTATTTATAGGTCTGTGAACCACATAAACCTCCGCAACCGAAATAAACATCCGCTTAAAAAATAACATGCTTGGGGAAGAACGCCTTTGGCTCATCCACAAGCTTCTGTACAAACGCTCGTGCAATATCAGAAAAGAATCAGAAAACTAGAGAAACATCCGCAGACTCAAATATAAGGCTGTGACTCCAAAAGATATGTTTCACGCCGCAGAAAAAAAAGCAAACACACACTGAGGAGGTTCCAGGCATGTCGCCCGGTGTCGAATCCACCTCGTCGCCTCCCAGACGGTGGCGCTGCTCCACTCGGTCCAATCGGTCACCGGCAGAGTCAAAGGAGCTCGATGCTCGGGTCGGTGCGTCCGCAGGACGAGCTGCAGGAGATCATTCTCTACTTGAGAGATCCGGACCGCTTCACCCGTCTCGGCGCCAAGCTCCCCAAAGGCGTCCGCCGTCCGCGGGCGTCCGCGTCGGACGAAAGGGGACGAGCTCCGTGGGAGCGGGGAGCAAGGAAAGCTGTCTATTCCAGCAGCACGGAGGTTCGGGTGGTTTATGGACACCCATGGACCCTTAAAAGTAGGACCTCCCGCCGAGGAGGTCCTTAAAAGGCCGATGTCCGAGAAACCATAGAAGTTGCTAGGGTTTCACCGCCGAGGAATCTGAGGAAACCCAGCAAAGGGGATATAGGATCCTGTGAAACCTTGGTCCACAATTTAATCGTGAGCAAGCTTGAAAAACGTCCACTCATTCAGATTCATGTAGAAATTGCGCACAAAAAATTTGTGTAGGATGCCATGCCAATGCTCACGATTGCTCACGATTGCTCACGATTGCTCACGCTAGCTATGAGCACACAGCAAATAAATGAGGGCGTGCAAACAAATGAGGGCGTTCATTTTAAAAGGATCTAAAATTGCACAATGCCAAATGTCCTCAATCAAGCCAACACCAGCAGTGAGGGCCCATCAAATAGCCCTCTCGCCGATGTTCTTTTTAGGACCTCGGACCTTGAATGGAAGAGTATCGCCGTTGTTCTTTTTAGGACCTTTTTTTCTCAACAAATCCGAGGACCCTACAAAGTAGGACCTTGGACTTCCAGGCCTATGTATTTTCCATCCAAATAACCACCCCTTCCGTGGTGCCGGTAGGTGCAATGTGTCTGTGTGTGTTTCTGTGTGTGTCGCAATGGTCCGAGGTCTGGGTGATCGAGGTTTTGTTTGGGGCTGGCGTGGGCCGCTGGGGCGGCGTGGGCTTGTTTTTGATATACCAGGACCCCCGGACCAGGGGCTTCTATTGATAGCCCCTTAGATGTGATTCGGGGTGTCCATTCACCACCCCAAAACGGGGGCCTGATATGTGTTGATTTGGTTGTCACCGGCTTTAGCCCCGGAAGAGTCACCGACTGCAACCGGTTCCAAAGCGGTTTTGTGGAGCGAAAAGAACCAAGGTCGGTCCATGCCATGCCATCAGGTTCCATGACCCAGACACGACTAATGGGACTGCCATAGGACTGCCGCCCCATTGACCCCTCAAACCACCCTAACTGATCGGCATATATGGCAGTCCCACGTGGAGTGTCTGGGTGATGGGTCAGAACCTGGGGCCCGACCAGTCTACCAGAGCGAATCCACCAGTCGGTTTTCCTGGTTGTGACGCCGACCTCTTCCCCGGTGCAGTTCCGCTCGCATGAGGTTTTTACTTTTTTTTGGACCTGAAGAACCCTAAAGCTATTTTAATAATCTTTGCGCTACAAGACCACCTTGGTCCCGAACTCTTTCATCGTCGAACGGAAGTCTAGGGTTTCTTGACCACCAACTCAGTGATTCCTACCAAGCAAAAGTGGATCACCTTGAAACCCTTTTTGTGGATCGGGGGTGCATCCACTCACATTCCAACAGGTATAATATGGTATAATCATCCTGGAGTAGATAGAATAGGAACCAATCCAAAAACATGACCAGTGTTCCATCTTTTATTTGTGTTGTTTTTTTCCATATTCTATCTAGTCCAGGATGACTATATAGAAAAAAGGTCGCAGCGCGGAGGTCAGGATTAAGCTTATCCACTCGGGGGTGACAACTGTTTTTTCAAGGGGAAGCTATCAAAACAATGTTAAACAAAGAGAAAGAACAACAACTGTTACAGTTCTGGACGACATGTTTTAGACTTCAGCTTCTTTGCAGCGTTTGGATTCATTCGGTCTCAGCGTGAGAAGTTAGAAGTTTCTCTTTGCCTTTTGGAGGACGGGAGGGGTAAGCAAGATAATAGATATATACATATTATATACCAGCACCTTCCAGCAGGTCTCCGAAATGGAGGGCTGTTAGGCCCTAACAGGTTTCAATTGGTGACCTGTTGGAGGTGCTGGTTTAGTTTGGTGTTTCTTTTGACCCCTTTGTCTCCCGATCCCTGAATCCCAACCAGCCCCGAGAAAAGAATGCCACCTGGACCTATCTGAATGTGTTTCTTGAAAAAGGAGGACGCAACTATAACTACCACGGTGAACGACACCGAACAAAGCAAGTGTCGCCCTCCTTGTCGCAGCTCACTGAACGACGCAGCGAGACCTGTCGTCCTCCCAAATCGCATCGTCCGATTTTTGGGTGCCTCTGAGAAATCGCATTACCGGCGCGAGTCCGAAGTGGATGGATTCGACCTGAGTCGACCTGGGAAATTGGACATGACCCCCTATGTTTAAAGAGGTAGATCATGGTAGATTTGTACCCGTCTTTTAGGAGTAGATGGTACTGAGGCTCCGGGTAGATGGCACTGTCGGCCTATCCGAGCTTCCCCTGGTTGAAAAGCATGCATCCCAGACCACTCAAAGACATGTGTGTTGCTTAGCAGTCTGGGAGCAGTCTGTGTTGCTGATTTCTTGGGTTTGTTGATCGTACACCACACCTCAGTTACGCTGGCTCGCTGATCTGTAAGATATGTTTCAACGATTTCGTTGTGCTTAGTCAAGGCAACCCACGTAACCTTTGATCCATGCTGCCTCTTCCTTGGTTGGGCCCTGACTGGGACCCCTATGTTTGCAGGATTGTTGGAAATGGGAAAAGCCCTCACTCACTTCTTCACATTCATTGACGCAACGATGGGCACCCAAAGTTTCTCCCCACGACGACGCAAAGAAGTTGTCAAGGCCACCACGCAACGAGTACCAACTATGGCTCGGAATGTTGCAGATCCGCACAGAATTTGAAAGAGCTTGACGTTGGGCAGACAACACCCAGAGTGACAATAGACAATAGATCCAGCTCAGTTATGCGGCATTGGGCCTGGAGGTTGCAAGGTGATCAAGGTGTTTCCCCTCAACTCCCTGGAGTTGTACTTGCCTAACGAGGCTTGGAACCCACGGCCCCGTGTGCTGCGCGTCATTTCCACACCACCTGCTTCTTGCCAGTGGCACTTGGGCGCCCAAAAGCAACAAGACACTGCCAGAGCAGGTCAACCTGCCTTGGCGGTCTCGGCTTCTTCAGCTCAACGCAGTGGAGAAACAGCCTCCACGGCCTCCACATGCTAAAGCTCCTCGATACTTTGCCACTTGCGCATATCAGCAGACTTGTGCCTGGGGTCCCTGCCTGGCTAGCTCCAATCAAAGAAGCCGGCGTGTCATGCAAATGGTGTTTAGTCGGAAAGAGCACAGCTGATGTTACAGTCGTGATGCCCCAGGCCCATGCAAAAGTAGACATGAGTTGATCCATCGGGCACCTCTTCTGAATTGTTCATTAAGACGTTCCCTCCTTCCCAGTTCTTGGCCGATGTCAAGGTCATGCAACTTCAGGTCCAAAACGTATTTTGCCAGTGATTTTGTCCCACATTTTTGTTGGTGAGGCCATTGCAGATCTACAAGGAAAAACTGGAAATACAGTACATGGTTGTGTTACTCACTGACTGTGTTGCGTTGGTTGATTGTTTGGCCTGTGTCACCACAACTATTCAAATGTTGCATGTTTTGACTCTGCATTGTGTGAAACCATCGAAATGCACAAGTCTAGATGGCGCCAGCTATGTTATCAGGACTGGCCCAGGGAAATCCACTGTTCGGAAGAGGTATTTGTTTGTTTATTGAAGTTCTACGACCAAGCCGATGCAAGACTATTGTGCCTTTGGCCAGGCGTGATGATGTCAGGTTCGCCAGGGACTGGCAAGACTCTCCTTGCAAGGGCCATTGCCGGTGAGGCTGGCGTGCCCTTCCTGCAGGCCGAGCTTGAGACCAGAAAACGTTGGAGAACCGGTTGTTCCATGGTGAATAGATTTCCCTCTCAAATACCACGGACCACAACGTGTGTTGTTCCTCCATGTGACAGGAGGTAAAGTTGTTTGTTCCTGGTGTACAGTTCATTTTGGTTGATACGTCTTTCAAGTCAATGTAATTTGCCTGCACGAATCAAGAGTGTCCAATAGTCTAGCAAAACAATTTCCAAAAGGTTGACATTTGTTCAGTTTTTGTAGATATTTTGTGTGTTCTTGGTACCTTGTAGATCATTCTTTTGTTAGGGGTCAGGAGTGAACAAACATCACAAGATATCATCAGGCTCAATGTAAGATGTGCGTGGAGTCTTTAAGGTCTTTAAGCTTGAAGATTTCGGGGAACTTCGACAGCCAGGTGGTTGAACATGGTTGAACCTACCCTCGTCACAGGTCGTCAAACCATGTTTCACCCAGAGCTTACTGTTTTGAGAATCTGCCACGAACTCCGCAGAAAGGAAGCACTTTGAAGCACCCGAGACCTTTCGGCTTTCCCAGGTGGATCGCACAACGGTTCGAGCGTCGGTGTTCGTCGCAGGCCTCAGGGAGCGAATTCGAGGAGATGTTCGTGGGCGTGGGCGCGCGGCGCATCAGAGACCTCTTCCAGGAGGCGTGCTCGTGCCTCGCGCGAGCCGCGACGACGGCGCGTCGCGAGTTCCTGCGGCTTCGGTTGCGAACCCCCCGGCGGTGTCCAGCAGTAGTCGGTCGGTACTTAAAGGTTTTGGAAAATGGTTGGGTTTGTTGACCTCACTGGGTCGGGTACAAACACTATACTTAAACACTCCATGGGACTGGCATAGGACTGCTGATCAGTTGGTGTGGTTGACAAGGCATTAATTAAGTTGGTATATAAGTTATAAGTTGGTATAAAGATTTCAAACCCATAATCCCATCGAGTATCATGGGGTGTATACGCAAATGATGTTTTTCTCACCAGGTTTTACGATGTCTCGCGACTGGACGGTTGACTGGTCGATGTCTCCCGCACTGCAGGACACAAACCACCCGCCCTTCCGGTGTAGAAAGGCCCTCTTCAGAGGGCGTGCCCGGCGTGCCCCCCCGGAAAAGTGGATCACCTGCAGGGCATTCGAATTCGGCAGAATGGGGGTTGAACATGCTCCACTCAACTCCCACAGGTGGAGTTCGTTCCGCTCACACGGAAAATGGACTCAGGGGTGTCAGAGTTTTTAACCACCCAGGCACGACCTGTTTGGGACTGCCATACTTGCCCGCATTTCAGTTGGTTTGGGGGATCAATGGACATATTCTATATATGGAGTTGCATGGAGCGTTTGGGTAACACATTTCTCCAAATCCTGCCAATTAAACAATAGGGGACCAAAACCGATGCTGACCCAGATTCTCAGAGAGTACGGAGTAGTGACAGTGAAACAAAATCAGAATCATTTGAGCTATGGGTCCAAAAACGGATCTAAATACCTTGACCTACCCAGGAAAAGGTGGACAACTGTTAAGCCTTTTTTGGGTTGGGGACACCCCACTAAGTATGAAAACATGGAAACAGGTTATATTATATTATAATAACTGGTTCCTTACATTGAATCGGAGGGATTCAGGTAGTCCATTCTGTTCATCTTCCGTGGTGAACCAGGGCTCCCCCAATTGAAAGACCCACAGCGATTATATAGGGTCCACAGACATTAGTAAGTATCCTTTCCCTAGCCTTCCAAGACCATTGAATCAAAGGAAAGGATGACCTGTTGTAGTCCATCAGTTTATAGTCTAGAAGTTGCTCCTTCTTGTCTTGTTGTTTGTTTTTTATGGTTTGTTTGTTTGTTTGGATGGATGGATCCGTAGCCATTTTGGCTCAAGTTGTGCGCGATTTGAGTCGTGACTGCGAATGGTCGGTCTCCCAGAGGCTGTCCTCTTTGTGTTAGTGATTTCGATCACTGTTGTCTTTGCTTTGCGGCTGGTGTTGGTTGTACATCATGCTATCACTCATGTTTTGGCATGGCGATGGTTTTTGATGATCCATCATCTTCGTGGAAGGGTGGTGATGGACAAAGTTCCTCCTCGTGGAAAGGGAACGACCGGTCTGGTTCGTCCAACTGGAATGGGTGGTAGGATGTTGCTGTACCTACTCTGTATTCACATGGCGTCGTGCAATGCGGCTCAATCTGCAGATGATGCGATTTCGGGTCATCAAGATTATTCCGGTCAGGGCTTTGTCCGGGCTCAGGTGACCCATGGTCATCGTATGCTGTGGACATTGACTCACACGAGTGCGTTGCGTTTGGGTGATGTTGTTGGTTCTTTTGAATATATTCCAGAAGATCTTTATTATGCGGTCATCCAACGTGGGACGAGAGATCAGTATGGTGAACTGGAGAATGTCTGCGACACGGATGATGATGACACCACCTTTCATGAACGATTTGGTGTGGAGGCTCCACTGTTATTCGCGATGATCGTGGCCACTTTGCACCGATCTCCACTTCATGTCGTGGGGGAATGTGGGGTGTCGGCGGAGATGAGTTGTGTATGGATTTAAGGAGATGTATGCCCGTCCTGGGTGTGCCTTCGTCGGTGCCGTTGGGATGCTGTTTGAGGTGGTTCCGGAGTTCGCGACTATCATCACGGAGCAGTCCGCTTGTTTGTACGGTGAGTTGTGGACTGTTGGCACTGTATATGCCACTACTAGTCACCTTCCGTGGGGGGCGCTTGGCATCGTACTAGGATCCACTCGGAGCCCCAGTGCCATAGTCTAAGTGGCACGCCCGGAGCTTGCTGCTGCGCAGCAAAGCCAGATTAGAGGACATCAGCAGGAGTGATCACGATTCCGATCGGGGCGAAGAGTTTGTAGTTCCAGGGCTGATGCAGAGCCAGCCTGGACCTTGTATTCAGCTACAAGGTTCCGGGTTGGAGTGAGAATCCAAACCTCAAGGCTCTTGGAAGCCCAGGACTTTGGACGGTACAATCGGCAACCAGAAGTCTGGAGACAAAGTGGAAGTTCAAAGCTGGAGACGGTGACCTTCGGCTACACAAAAGCTCGGAGGAAAGTGACAACTCAAAGCTTGAGA